ATTTACTTTTACAAATATTAAAGGTTGTTTAAAATGTAAACTGACTTCATTTTATTAGTAGATTTCATGATGTGCTAATTCAAAATGACTACACGGCCAGATTTGAATAAATTACCAACTCATTTTCCAAAAGCGAAGGACATTTCCTCCAGGCTGGGTTTTTGACTGTTTGTGTCAGTAGGAAAAGAAAACAAAAAACTTATGAATATTTCAGGATGGAAGACTGGTGAATCTTTTCCTCATTTCATTGCACTAGAATAATACAGTTTATTACCTTATGATACTGCTTTTTAGTAACTCAGCAGGGAGCATGCCATGAAATATTGATTTAATCACACACTGTTAATTTACCTTGAAAAAAACCTGAAACAAAGGACACAGATCTGGAAGGAATCTTGCTGGTTTATTGTGTCCAAAGCTCAGCTACTGTAGGGCTACATGGATTCCTAACCACTAACTGATCAAGTTCCAGTTTAAAATAATTAGGTTTTAACTCACACTACTCCCCGTTGAAGACTATTCTGATCCTTTACTGATCTGATGGTAGGAAACTGTCTTAATTGCCAGCCTAAATGTATTAATTAGCAGTGTATATCCATTTGTTCTTGTGTCAACATTGTCCTTTGCCTGAAAAAGTTCCCTCTCTGGTGTTCACTTTCTGGTTATATTCACACAGAGCAGTCATATCTCTTCTAAGCTTCATTTTACTATGTTAAATCACACCCCTTTAGTTTACTTTCATAAGACAAATTCTCTAGTACTTTGATCATCTTAGTAGCTCTCCTTCACACCTGTTCCACTCTGAATTCATTCTCCCTTGAACATGGGGAATCAGAACTATACACAGAATAGCAAATGAGATCAGACCATTGTCTTGTATAAAAGTATTAATAGTATTGCCTGTTCTTTATTGGAAATAGCTGGTAATACACCCTAAGATCTAATTTGCCTTGTCATGTATCACTTTGGTAAGTTGTAGTCATCCCAAGATCAACTAATACAGAGATACTCAACCCATAGCCATAGGCCAGATCCAGCCCATGGAACTGTGTCATTCAGCCCACGAGGCTCCCCAAGAGTCCAGAAATTCATCAGTGGGGGAGTGGAGGCAGTGTGAACTGCTCTAAATTTCTTGGGCTGGATAACATGGCCCTGTGTGCCATATCATGCCAGCACATGGCTAGTTCTACACATATAGGGTCATGGTGGTATGTGGCCAGACCTGGGTGTATTGGGTCACACTCATCAACTGACCTCACATGCTGACCCCATGTGGGATCTGGCACATGGACCAACTCTGTGCAACTCATCCGGTCTGTGAGGCCAAAAGGCTAGAACTAATATATTGATATACACACGTCTTTTTTCTAATCAATGAATTCCAACTGCTATCTCCCACATTTATAACATAAATTCTCTTTTAGTAATCCCTAAGTGGATAATTTGAACTTTGAGTTGTTAAATTTCACTCCAAGTTCACTATTCCAGTCCTCAAAATCATCCAGTCTGTGTGATATTCTAGTCCTCCTCTGTATTGGCAATACCTCCCTATTTCATGTCATCAGCACATCATTAGCACGTTCAGATGTTTTGTAGAAAAGTTGTTAATTAAAATATTAAATAGCAGAGTAATCAGTGACTTGTTTGTAACTATTTTTTTTTAGTGTGATATTTTTGGAGATAAAGGACTATTTTTTTCTGTTAAGTAGCAACGGGGTGGGGAAGAGGAGGACTTAGGAAAATATTCGTGATGTTGCTGTGTGTGTGTATTATGGCAAATGTAAGAGATGCATTGTCATTCCTCTAAAGCATTATATATTGGTGACTGCTGGAAGTCAGCACTAAGCTAAATAGCCAATCACCTAAGCCACCATGCTGAATCCAGTATTCTTAATGAACTCGCTCTCTCTACATATTCACAAAATATTGCTTCAAGTTTTCTTTGTACTTTCATAAACTGCTACAGAATGTCAGAGGCAGAACATAGGTCTCATTTGAACTACTGGCATGAGAAAGGGTGGCAGCATCAGCCAGAAAGAATGAATTTAAGTTATTTCTTTTCCACCACATATACTGATTTCTTATTCCACTTCTCTTTTTCAGATGATCAGTACCATATTTACTCAAATAAAAGGCAAAGTTCCCCCATCCCAATCAGCCTGGGGGGGGAAACCACCTCATCTTACATTCACATACAAAGAAACCTCATTAAATAGATTATCTATCATTAAACTGTTGCCAAAAGCAGCACATGCTTGATAATGGAAACCAATTATGAAGTTGATTAAATGCAGCCAACACTGAATATGACTATAAACCACATGGCCCATATGGGGCAAACTTATTGATGGAAACCTACCACAAAGATAGATATAGACATAACATATATACTAGCGCTCATTGCATGCAGTCATCCTCAGTGTCAAGGTTTTTTTCAAGTTATGGTGAGCCACTCCACTAAATACATTTTACTTCCTCTTCACTCCCACAATTGAGCTGTGACTTCTTTTCCCATTTTCAATGATTCCTGTTTCTTCACCAGCCTTAAAATTCTGGCAAACATCAACAAACAGGGCCCCAACCAGTTCACCCAGAATCCCTCTGTCACCGCTTCTGTTAGCTTGACATATGATTAGTGTAGCCCCACCCTCCATGAGATGAAGCTAAACCATGCTTCTCTGCCCCTCATCTGCATATAATTTTTTGGAGGATCTAGGACTTGTGACAAGAATACCCTGTTCCAGTTATGAGTATGTGTGTGTGTGCGGGGGTGGTAATTAGTACATGGCTCCCTTGTGGGTTACATCTGGAGTACACACACACTGAACAGTGCCAAACTTTGGGGTCACCATAGCTGGGAACACTTTTGATTGCTGGGACCAATCCCAATGAACTATATGGTAAATCATGAGCCTTTTGGCTCTGGACTAATATCATGCATTGTTTGTAATATATATAAGTACAAAAGTGCTGCTTAAAGTGTATTTATGGAATACCTGTGCTAAAACTTGCAGCAGTTTTAAAAAAGGTAAAATGCATCACTTCTGGATTATGTCAGTCAATGGATACCTGTAGCAATTTGCATATGTGTAAATTACTACAGGTATGTTTATTTCAAGGTCAGTGTTTTCAAATTTGCTTCTCATTTTTACATGTGCAGGGAGATCAGGGTTTGACAATAAGAGGGGAAGGAGGGGCTGCAGGAGGATGTTTAGGGGCAGAGGACAAGGGAGCTACCTGATCCTCTGATTTATTTTTCTTCCTGTAGAAGTGGGAGGGGGACAAATTCAAGGCAGACCTCCAATAGTTAGATTCTATACCTGGAAAGTTATAATAAATGTATACATTTTTCATGTATAGAATCTAATTTTTGGGGAGAGGGGTCATCTTATATTCAGGGTCATCTTACATTCAAGAAAATATGGTAATTCAGGATAGCTATAATGCAAATGAGTTTGTTAACTACTCACTATAAACAAGAAAAATGTCAGAATAAGGAACTAAATCAGAGCATTTATCTTCTGAGGTTGAAACCAGGAAGCCCTAGAGTTCCCACAATGACAAGGCTGCTGTGTATTCTATGTTAAGTTTTTCATTTAATCTTTTTCATAAATTGCCCTTTTCTCATGAACCCCTCTGGGTCAAACTATGGAGGGTGGGATGGGGGGATGTGGTGAGAGAGACCTAACTGTAGGTGTACTACATACCACCAAATGAAGGTGAGGAGCTCAATCTAGAGTTCTCTCAAGAACTGGCATGGGACATGGTTATCATGGGTGACTTCAATTACTCAGACATCTCTTGGGAGGAACACTCAGCTAAGTCAGATCAGTCACATTGCTTCCTGACCTGTATTGAAGAGCTCTACCCGATGCAGGAAGTGCATGGGCCAATCAGAGGTAACACTCTCCTAGACTTAGTCTTGGCCAAAGGAGATGATCTGATGAGTGAAGTGAATAGAGAAGGTATCCTGGGCAACAGCGACCATGAAACCATCACGTTCACTGTCTGTCATAAGGTAGGCAAATCAGCTAGTAGGGTTGAAGTTTTGGACCTCAAAAAAGTGAATTTCAACAGGTTCAGGGCAATAGTAGGGGAAGAGCTACAGGACGAGGGACCAAAGGTGAAAGGAGTGCATGAAGAGTGGTCATTCCTCAAGGACATGATCCTCAAAGCACAAAAGAAGTTCATTCCCATGCAGGTGAAAGGTAGCAGAAGGGCTGGTAAGCCCTCTTGGCTTAATAGGGATATCATGGTCCTCTTGAAAATGAAGAAAGAGGCATACAAGCAATGGAAGCTTGGGACAATCCCCAAGGAGGACTATACAACAATGGCCCACACTTGTAGGGAGCAGATTAAAAAGGCCAAAGTGGTGACTGAATTTAAACTAGCAACAGAAATCAAGAACAATAAGAAGTCCTTCTTTAGGTATGTAGGGAACAGGAGGAAAACAAATGGAAGTGTGGGGCCATTGTTTAACAGCTGGCTACCAACACTCAGGAGAAAACTAAACTCCTGAATGACTACTTTGCTTCAGCATTTCACTGGACTAAGGGTAAAATCATACTAGATAAGGTTCAGAATGGGCATGGTGGGAATGACTGCCTTCCTACTGTTGACACTGAGCTGGTGTATCATCAGTTAGAAAAGTTAGACATTTATAAGTCAGCAGGACCAGATGAACTTTGTCTGAGAGTGCTGAAGGAGTGGGCCAAAGTCATCGTGGGACCTCTGGAGAAAATCTTCCAAAACTCGTGGCACTTGGGGGAGGTCCCTGAAGACTGGAAGAGGGACAATGTTGTGCCCATCTTCAAAAGGGGAGGAGAGAGGACCCAGGCAACTATAGGCCAATTAGCCTAACTTCTGTTACAGGGAAAATCCGGGAAAAATTCCTCAAGGAGTGCTATACGCTTGCAGAAGGTAGAGTTCTGATTGACAGCCAGCATGGCTTTGTCGTGGGCAGGTCTTGTCTTACCAATCTCATCTTCTTCTATGACCAGGCAACTCGTCACCTGGATAAAAGAGAGGAGGTCAATATTGTATACCTCGACTTCCAAAAGGCCTTTGATCTGGTATCCCATAATGTTCTCATGGGAAATTTGGAGCAATGTGGGCTTAACTGCTTGACATTTAGGTGAGTAGGAAGCTGTCTGCGGGGGATCCAGAGAGTTCTAATAAACAGATCTGTGTCGTCCTGGCGAGATGTGGCCAATGGTGTCCCACAGGGGTCTGTGCTTGGTTCAGTGCTTTTCCACACCTTTATCAATGATTTGGATGTGGGGGTGAAGAACACACTGACCAAGTTTGCGGATGTCACCAAATGATGAGGGAGCGTGGTCATGCCTGAAAATAGGCAGCAGATACAGGTGGACCTAGACAGACTGGCGAGTTGGGCAGATCAGAACCAGGTGAAGTTCAACATTGAGAAGTGTAAAGTGCTCCATCTGGGGAGGAAAAATCCCCAACATACTTACAGGCTGAGTGGTGCCAAACTGACTACCACCATGACAGAAAGGGACCTAGGGATAATAATAGATCATAGTATGAACATGAGCAGTCAGTGCAATGATTTAGCCAGCGCGGCAAACAATACTCTGGCATGCATCAACCAATGCATCTGAAGCAAAACTAAGGAAGTGATTCTTCCACTTTACTCAGCATTGGTAAGACCACAGCTGGAGTACAGCATCCAGTTCTAGGCACTACACTTCAACAAGGCTGTGGAAAAATGTGAGAGAATCCAGAGAAGGAACCACCTGTATAATCAGAGACTTACAAGACAAGCCATATGAAGAAAGGCTGAAGGACTTGGGTCTCTTCAGCCTAAAAAAGAGAAGGCTGAGGGGACTTGGTAGCAGCTTACTGCTACATCAGAGGAATACATCAAGGGCTCAGTGAACAACTGTTCACCAGGGCACCCTTGGGGAAAACCAGGAGTAATGGCCAGAAACTCCTGGAAGACTGTTTCAGACAATACTAGGAATAATTTATTCACAGTTAGGCTGTCCAGACTGTGGAATAAGCTCCCTCCGGAGGTGGTGCAATCACCTACCCTGGAAATCTTCAAGAGGAGACTGGACGGTCACGTCCCTGGGGTTACCTAACCCCAGTTGGCTTTCCTGCCCAGTGCAGGGGGGCTGGACTCGATGATCTTGCGAGGTCCCTTCCAGCCCCTCACAATCTATGAACCTATGAATGTGGAGCTTTTATTATCATACTTGAGATATTACAACATAAGAAAAAATAAGTTTGTGTATCAAACTAGAATGCACTCCCCACTGCAGTAAAGCTAATAGGGGGCTTGCGTGGATGACACAGGAATGTCAGGAGATCTGTGTTGTATGCCCTTTTCAACCACAGATTCACTGCATGATCTTGGACAAGTCACATAATTTCTTTGCTTTGTTCTCATCTTGGAACCAGATTGCAGCCTCAGTTTACCAGCTGGCTTATAGGTTGAGTTGGTGCAAGTCAGTGCCCATTATTTAGTCTTCCCCTTTCATGGTAAAAGGAGGTGTTCAAGGAAGATCCAAATAAAACAAACATGAACATTTTCCATGCAGATTCTTTACAAGGCCAGTTTCTAAAACCCTTGCTCCTTCAGTGCAGAGTTTTCAATACCTCCTCCATTAGTACCGTAGGGAGCCCAGGGTCTCTCCTATGTGTTTTGTTCTCTGACCCATGAACCCTATTCATCTTTTAGTTGCTTCCCAGGCTCCTGGATTTTTTCCCCAGAGCCTTCCCAGACTTCTTTCCATCTTAAAGTCCTTCTGCCTCATCCTTTCCCAAATTCTGATCATATACCTCTCCCTTCCCAGTGTCTTTTCCCAGACACCTTTCTTAGGTGGAGGAACTATACTCCCAATTTCTTACCCTTTGGCATCAGAGGTGGCTCTTTGAATTTCTTTCCTTTCACCAACCACTCACATAATCCTTGTAGAAGAAACAACACATCTCAGAATGGCTACTCTAAAAAGGCCAAACCTTGAGGGGTGAACAGGACCCCAGTTTACCTTTAAAAAGACAGCCCACCTCCATAGCATCCCCTATCTGTTAGAGGTGCATAATGGTTAATTACCTCACATGTTATTGCAAAACCTAATCCTTTCAGTCTTTATAAAGGACTTGAAATCCTCAGAAAAAGGTTTTATGCTTACAACACTACTATGACTACTGCTGAATATTGATCTGTTTTGAAAAACAAACAAGGATTAGTGCTTGAAAGAGATCAGAGTGCTAGAATGCTTTATCATTTCTCCATTATCCTCTTTAAAAAACTTCTGCAGCTTGATTTTGTTTGGCATCAACATACTTATTCTAAGTGATAAAGAGACAGAAAGAATAGCAAGTTAGGCTGATGCATAAAGCTTATGTGAATAAAAGATTAGTTAGGATGTGGAAAAGTATGCAAGCAATGCTGCATTGTCAACTGAGAGCATGTACGAAGAGAAACAGATGTTCAAATATATAAACTTTAGAAACTCTGAATCTTTTTGATTAATGTGAAGCTTTATGAATAATGCAAATTGTGTAAGAAATACTGAGGCTTGATTTAAAGTTGTTAAAGGAGAAAGTTTACAATGTTTTTGATGCTTTTTTTTTGAGAAGCTAAAATCACAGTAGGAGAGCCAGTGAGTGGAACCATTTCCAGAGGCTGCTATCAGAGCTCACTGTAGCTGAAATTCTTTTTAGGAGGTGTTCAAGCACAAAATCCACCATTCGAAGTGAGAATATCCCTGGTGGAGCTGTTGGTAAACCAGTCTAATGAATCACACACAGCTAAGGAGGGGCTAATCATTCTCATATCTCTGAGGAAAGAAAAGAAACATTTTCTGGAGAAGTTAATAGAGAAGATTTTGTGAGCTGCTCAGCCAGTCTCTATTCAGCAAAGCACTTAAGCATATACTTAAGTCCAGCCCTATTCAGTTAAAAACTCACATTCTTTGCTGAATCAGGGCTCTAGAATATGTAATACACTTTGATCCTGTTCAGTGATGCAAACCTTTTTATTTAAAGCCAGAAAAACTAGTTTTCTTTGGGTTGATGCATCATCAAATCCAAGCAACTTCTTTGTCAGCATATATCAGTATAAACAGGAATGTAATAAATTGTCTTCATAAAAAGCCAGCTCAAGTTGCAAAATGATGCAATGCACCAAATAGAAAAAAGAAAAGGAAAGAAAACCTCACTGGATTTTAACGCAAAATATAACAACTGAAAAAAAAATTTTGGTTTTCTTTAAATGCTATGACAAGGAAACCAATGAACTGAATGATGAACTGAATGTTTTTGGTAGACAAACAGCAAACAGCTTAGGACCCACAAGCCACATTCAGTATTCATATCACATAAGAGTAGTACATCTCAAATTTTCTTTGTGTCTTAAAATATTTATGTATATTCCAGAAGCTGTCATGTGGTCAGTACATGAATGGGCAAATAAGGATTTCTTTTTGATCATATATGACTTTCTCCTGTGTTCCTTGTCATGTCCAAATCTTGCTCACATTCCAAAGGAGTTAGAAATAGCAATATCCAGGAGAAAAGTTGATGTGATGATATTTTTGACCTGGCCAGAAGACAACATTTCATAAGACAGACAGCCTTCTCATGAGATTTTCATCAAGTTCAACAGGAATAATCATGCGCTTAAACACACATCTTTACAATTTTGGTGCCATATTTTGATTTTTTTGACTTCTGGCTTTTTAGGGAGAATGTCATAAAACAAACAAATAAACCAATCAATCAACAGATGTCTGTCTCAGCATCTGCTCTGCTCAGTCCTTGGGTAGGTAAGTACTAATGTGATAAGAAGCAGTGGGCACATGCACCGTTTTTAGGCTATAAGGTAACAAAATTAAATCAACATTTAATACACCTAGTAGGATGTTTTAAACTTACAGAACAAATATATCAAACTCCACTGAACCTAATATTTTTGGCAGTGTTCATTTTTAAAAACTTTTTTGCATCTGTTAGCACCATTCCGTACATGCAGCTGGAATGTATGCGAGTCAACTCCCTCCCACAATGCATGTCTATTTGCTGCCACAAGTATACACAAAAATGACAGACTAACACTTAAAAGGTAGTTAAGTCTTAGGTGGAAAACAAACCTAACATCACAAACACAATATCCTGTTACAGTGTCAGATGAAACCACTCTGTCCTTGAAGAGATGATTCAAAAGAAACTCTTTCCAACTCAAAGGATTCTAGGACTCATGCTATATTCCTATCAGTAACAAATGAAATGACATTAACTAGTAAGAACAGCCCTCAAAATAAATAGCCTATGTCTGTACACTCTGTTTTTACTCTAACATTATCCATCCCCTCAATCTCAACTCCATTTTAACTCCATCTGTTTGGGAATATAAAAATACATCTCCTCCTTGCAGTACTAAGTACAGACAGACATTTGGGATGTTTGGAGTCTGCTTTCAGGCCCAAATTCTTCAGCTTGAATCCATCTCTAATCCCAGAATGAGATATGTAGACTGTCACTTTATAGACTGGAGAACAGTTCTAAAAATAAAGTTGTTATGGAGATGCTGACAATTTTAGTCATAGATGAATTCTTGAAGGAGG